CTCTTTCAGGCAGCAATTCTTTTGTTTTATGCTCCCCCAAACAATACTTACTTCTCTGTGTATCCCAGATATAGCTGTTCAGAACTTCTCCCAGCAGGTACAAAAAGTTCATTAAGATGGTTGTAGACCCAAAGAAGAGGATTCTGGCTCCTGGGCCAATGTGTTCCAGGAAAGGGTACACCCACATCCCTGTTACATGATGCACCCAACACACCCTGCAGTGGAATCCGAAAGGAGACAGAGACAGGAGTTACTCTCATGTCAGATTTTAAAGCTGCTGATATTACAAATACACACCCCCTACTACAAACATTCTTCAGCAGTGCCAGTTGCCGTTTGCTTCTGATACTCCGCAACATCCCAAGTGTCTGTCAGCTGATAAATGGATGAGCAGAATGCTGTATACACATACAATGGAATAATATTCAGCCATAAAGAGGAACGAAATTTTGATACATGCTACAACATGGATGAACCTTGAAAACTTAATGCTAAGTGAAATAAGCCAGACACAGAAGGACAAATATTATATGACTCTATTTATATAAGATACTAGAATACCTAGAATACTTCAGAGATGAAATGTATAATAGAGGTTACCAGGGCCTGGGGGGAGTGGGGAATAGGGAATGATTATATATGGTACAGAGCTTAAGTTGGGGATAATGATAATATTTTGGGTATAGATAATGATGATGCTTATATAACAACGTGAATGGATTCAATGACACTCAATTGTACCCTTATAAATGCTTAAAATGATAAATATTATGCTGTGCTATGCATATTTTACCACAATAAAACATTTCCATGGGGTGGGAATTAGGAAAAAAATATCTAAAAATTTCCTTGGTGGAGAGAGTCAATAATGAAAGAAAGATTGAGAAACAGTGCTGTAGAGGGGAGAGACACTCATTAAACCCATCCAGGTCACCTTGACTAATTGTCCACACTACAAGATTTTTAGCAAAAGAGGAAGCCAAGCTAGTCACAATTAAAAACAAAAAACAAAAAAACTGAAGCATTTGTGAGAATCAACAGAAGTTAAGTTGAACTACCCTAAAGGATTCTGATGCATCATATTTTGTTTGTCCGTATGTTACAGGCAGTTTTATTTTCCTAATCTTGTCCTAATCTTGTTTTGTAAGGAGGTGTTGTGCACCCATCAAAGGGATTATTAATTTCTATGGAGATAATATGCAATATACCCAAAATGTAATATCATAGAGCTGTAAATGATTTTGCAAACCAACGTATAAAATTATAATCTGACTCACTGTAAACTGTTTCCTCAGTTAGGCAAATTAGGAGTAGTTCTAACTATGAATGCTAGTTATATTTTTATACTTGTTCCTGGCTTTCTACTTTTGTTCTACTTGAACGAAACTTTCCTTTGCAGCTTTTGGTAACATCTCTGATGCCAGGCCGCTATTCCTCAGAAGTTGTTTGCAATGCACTTTTGGTCTGTATGGAATCATTTTATAATACTGAATAGATATAACAACCATAGCCACATCCCATCTATCTGTAGAGGACTCCTAAATTCATATCTCCAGCCTTGGCCTAGCCTGATCTCCAGAGTTCCATACTCAATTGTCCACTGCACATCTCCCCTTGGAGGATGCATCTCCAAGCTAACGTTTCCATGATGTACTCACCATTCCTGCATCCTAATTCCTGCATATCTGCCCCCTCCCTCTGTCATCCAAAAGCAAACGTATGTCTCCCACGTCCTTCCCTTCTCAAATCAATGACTACTACCTTATTCCAGCAATTGCTTGGGCCAGATAATATAGGGTCATTTTTGACATTTTTTCTCAAAATCCACATCCAATCAATCCATCCTCAGATCCTATTGGCTCTACTTTCCAAATAGACTCCAAATATCTACTTCTCACCATCGCCACCACTGCCATCTGGGCTCAAGCCATCATCACCTCTCACTGGCACCACAATCTCTTCCTGACTCAGTTTTCTCCTTGCTACAGTTTATGCTATAGCCCATTCTCATTGGAGCATCCAGCCTGATTTGAATTAAAGTCAGGTCTTGCCACTATTTTGTTCAAAGTAGCTTTTCTCTCTCAATTGAGTATAAGCAAGAGTCCCTAGATGGTTCTTCAAGGCCCTGCCTAAGCAGGCTGGGCACTTTTCTGACTTCTCTCCTACTAATCTCCCCCTCACTTACTCTACTCCGGCCACAGTGACTTCCTGCTATTCCTTGAGCACACAAAGCAGGCTGTATTTGTTCCTGTGCCCAGAACATTACTTCTTACTCCCATCTCCCCCAGTTTTCCCAGGGCTCCCTTGTGTCTTTTAGGTTTTCTTCTATGTCCTTTGTCAGCAAACCTTTTCTGTAAAGAACCAGATAGTAAATATTCCCAGTTTTGCAGGCCTTACTGTCTCTGTCACAACTCTCAGCTCTGCCACTGCAGTGTAAAAGCAGCTGTAGACTGTATGTAAACAAATGATATGGTCGTGTTCCAATAAAACTTTATTTATAGACATTGAAATTTGAATTTCATATAATTTTCACATGTCTTGAAATATTCATCTTCTTTTGATTTTTTTCCAATAACGTAAAAACCATTCTTAGCTGGGTCATAAAAGAACAAAAAAAAGAAAAACAGACAGTGGGTGGGCTGGATATGGCCCACTGGCTATAGTTTGCTGCTCCCTAATTTAAGTAGTTCTTTGTATAATGGCCAACAGGCACATGAAGAGGTGCTCAACATCACTAATCATCAGGGAAATGCAAGCCAAAACCACAATGAGATAGCATCTCATACTTGTCAGAATGGCCATCCTCAAAAAGACAAGAAATAATAAGTGTTGGTGAAGATGTAACAAAAAGGGAACCGTAATATACGTTGGTGGGAATGTAAGTTGGTGCAGCCACTATGGAAAACAGTATGGCAGTTCCACAAGAAATTAAAAATAGAACTACAATATGATCCAGCAATTCCACTCCTGGAATTATACCTGAAAAAAATGAAAACACTAATTCATAAAGATATATTCACTCCAATGTCCATAGTGGCATTATTTGCAGTAGCCAAGATATGAAAACTATCAAGTGTTCATCAACAGATGAATGGATAAAGATGTGGTATATATATACAATGAAAAATTACTCAGCAATAAAAAAAATGAAATTTTGCCATTGCAACAACATGGCTGGACCTGGAGAGAATTATGCTTAGTGAAATAAATTACAGAAAGACAAATACTGCATGTTATCACTTATATGTGAAATCTAAAAACTACAACAAATGAGTTAATATAATAAAACAGAAACAGACTCACAGATACAGAGAATAAACTAGTGGTTACCAGAAGGGAGAAGTGTGAGGGGAGGGGCAAGATAGGTGAAGGGGATTAAGAGGTACAAACTACCAGGTACAAAATAAGCTACAAGGATGTAATGTACAACACAGGGAATGTAGCCACTATTTTATAATAATTTTATATGGAGAATAATCTATAAAAATATCAAATCACTATGTCGTACATCTGAAACGAATATGATATTGTAAGTCAACTATACTTCAATTTTAAAAATAGTTCTTTTTATTTCACAAAGGACCTTCATGCACATTATTTTATTTAGTCTTCTCAGCAATCCCAGGTATAGCATGTCATCCTCATTCTACTGAGGTAAAAATCAGAGTTTATAGAGTATAGTCAGAATATGTCAGAACTGACAATGGAAATGTAAAATTCTCAGGTTAGGGAAGTGGATAGCTGTTCTGAGTATATAATCCCCCTTAACTTATTCAAGCACCCTATGAAGTACGATTATCCCCATTTCACAGATAATGAAACAGACTAGATTAAAGAACTTGTCTTTAAAAATGGCAAAGCTGGGAAAGGAACACACACCTGATTTCTTTTCTCCTGCATGGACTTGCTTCTTTATGTGAGGCATAATATTGTCTCCAAAAACAAAGAGAAGGTTTTCTTTTCTTTGCTTTTCTATTTTAAGTTGTTTTGACTTAGTAAGTCATCATACCATCTCAGATATAGGAGTCCTGTTATGTGGGGTTTCACCTGGATTGGTGTGAATGATGCAACCACTTGTCTTAACAGGTTGGGTGCTTTCACAATTTGTTTGCTTGATATAATCAGGGCTCAATTTTCTGCACAAAAATGACTCACGGCCTTGCTCATCTATTTGTGGAGAGTTCTCAGGTCTTGGTTGACTTTCAATTTCGATCTCATTCTAAGACCTTCTCATCTTAGTGCCCAAACAGCTTATGCTTAAGGTAATGATGCCAATTTAAATTTTAGTCTAAAAAAATTGATAACCATAGTGTGTGTGCAGGTGCATACATATATATGCATATGCTATAGTACTATGAGACTTCTGGGGTTGACTATTTTATTAAATGTACCTCCAATTTCATTCACTTGAATGTGCAATTAAGAATGAAATTTATTGGCCTTCCCTGGTGGCGCAGTGGTTGAGAGTCTGCCTGCCGATGCAGGGGACGTGGGTTCATGCCCTGGTCCGGGAGGATCCCACATGCCGCAGAGCGGCTGGGCCCGTGAGCCACGGCCGCTGAGCCTGTGCGTCCGGAGCCTGTGCTCCGCAACGGTAGAGGCCACAGCAGTGAGAGGCCCACGTACCCCAAAAAAAAAAAAAAAAAAAAAAAAAAGAATGAAATTTATTAACGCCTCCTGTCTGAGTTGTGCTGCATACTAGGGATACAGAAGCAAAAGAGGCAAGGGTGATTCTTGTTCTCACGCAGTACAGTCTAACGAGGAATACAGATATTCACAGAGAAAACACAAGTGTAGTCAGAATTAGGGTAAGTGTAGGAGTGTCATGGGGGCACAGGGATCATTCTCTGCTTTTTTGTGAACCTTACACTTACCATTAGGCTTTCTTTCTCTTATGTATTCACCTTCCTTTCAAACCAGTTTTTTCACAGCTGATGAATATGCTCAAATGCTTTTCATTCAAACACAATCAAAAAGTTTCCATCAACTTCACAAATACCGCTCTATATGTCTCCTTCTCTTCAAAGACAAATTTCTCCAGTGAGTCTATACTCACTGATTCCTGGTCTGTACTCTGCACTCCTCCTCCAACAGCCTGGCTTCTTTTCTTATGCTTCACCAAAACATATCGGCTCTTTGACCTCAATTTCTCTTGTTTTCTTCCCACCTTGTTGGCTGCTCTTCTTGGTTTCCTTTCTAAGTTCACCCTTTGCTC